TCTGGGTCGTTTTTTTAAAATGTACGACATATTTAACTCAATAGTAACAAAACTGCCCTTGTCTGTGTAGGGTTTCTCACCTTACTTTCATTCTCTTTTGTGTATTTAAAAACAAAAACAAAACATTTGTTCTGACACTGTTTTCTTCCTTTTGGTCTTGTTTTTTTGTATCATAGTTACTGACAGCCCCTCACACCCACACCCACACACCCGCACATATATATTCTCTCTCTCTCCTTCATACTTCCCCTTCTGCCCTCCTCCCCCTCCCAAATAAAAGCCTTCTTTTGGAACAAACACAGTCAATCCAACCAACAGACACATTGACCGTATTAAAAACCATGTCTCCGGTCCTTCAGAAGATGCATTGTGTCGCCCCTGGTGCCAAGCTCAACCGTCATAATTACAGTGCTCCAATGCATTTTTGTAGCTGTTATCTCTCTTTCATTTACATGCATTTATAGTGTCTAATGTTTCTGTGGTTCTATTTATTTCATTTTTCATCAGTCTTGTAATGGATTTTGGGACGCCTTGAGAAGGGTTGGGATCCCCCTCCTTGGAGATGATCAAACAGATTCTGAATGATCACTTGTTGTGCATACTGTAGCAAGAATTCCTTTTCCTGTGTGTGTTTATAAGGTACAGGGGTGTGTTGATAAATGTTTAACAACTGGCTTTATGAAAAATACAGATGAAAGGCATTGGAAATTTAACAATTGGCTTCAGCACACCCCTGGGCACACACATATACATATTCACACACATATATGTACATCCCTGGGTACACATGCATACATACTGACTGGTATAAACATATAATATACATATACATATATGTGTATACAAATATATTATCTAAATACCTAGATATTTAGATAATATGATCATATCTCTCCATGATTTATCCACGTCATATCTATCTGTGCCACATGTGAACTGCTTCCACATGTAAAATATATAAAATATAAAAATAATTTAAATAATTATACATATTATTATATAATATAAAATATATCATATACAATATAGTATAATGTACAAAATATATTTATGTACATATAATATATAAAATAAATATTGAATATGTTTGATACATACTATATTATTATCTATATCTATAATTATAAATGTAACATAAATATCATTTATTTAAAAATTATAAGTATAATTTAAATAATTATATATTATATAGAATATAATATATTGTATATAATATATTATAATATATAAGATAAGATATTTAAATATGTTTTATATATATACCATATTATTATCTATTATCTATACTATATAAATATAACATATATTTATATATGGAAGCAGTTCACAAGTGGCATGGATAGATATGACTTAGTTTAGCCTATGTTTGTGGAAAGTGAGAGGACCATGTTCATGCTGAGAGCCAGATATCTGGGAGGAAGAGGTACAGGCAAAGTTCAGGACCAACAAGGCTGGGAAATCTCTCCTCCAGTCTCCCAGACAGCTTTACAGCTAGAAAGATATCTATGCCACTCATCAAATATTTCTGATGTAGAGGGAGGATAGATTCAGGACAAAAGCTGCTTTTCTGGTCACTCTTAATGGGGCAGGAGGTAGCCTTTAGCTTATGCTCACCAACTTGGCCTCTTCCCACCAAATACTGGTTACACCAAAGACCATTACAAATAGTACCTAGACCTCATTTCTAAAATATATAGAGAGTTAAGACAAATTTATAAGACTACAAGCCATTCCCCAATTGATAAATAGTCAAAGGATATGAACAGACGGTTCTCAGATGAAGAAATTAAAGCCATCTATAGTCATATGAAAAAATGTTCTAAATCATTATTGATTAGAAAAATGCAAATCAAAACAACTCTGAGGTACCACATCACACCTATCAGATTGGCCAACATGACAAAACAGGAAAATGATAATTGTTGGAGAAGATGTGGGAAAATTGGAACACTAATACATTGTTGGTGGAGTTGTGAAATGATCCAACCATTTTGGAGAACAATTTGGAACTATGCCCAAAGGGCTATAAAAATGTGCATATCCTTTGACCCAGCAATAGCGCTTCTAGGGCTATATCTCAAAGAGATCATACAAATGGGGAAAGAACCCACATGTACAAAAATATTCATAGCAGCTCTTTTTGTAGTGGTAAAGAATTGGAAAGTGAGAGGATGCCCATCAATTGGGGAATGGCTGAGCAAGTTGTGGTATATGAATGTAATAGAATACTATTGTGCTATAAGAAATGATGAACAAGGCTGACTTCAGAAAAACCTGGAAAGACTTGTATGGTCTGATGCTGAGTGAAGTGAGCAGAACCAGGAGAATGTTGTACACAGTAACAGCCACGTTATGCGATGACTAATATTGTTAAACTGAACCCTTCTCAGCATTACGAGGATCTAAGACATCTCCAGAGGCCTCGAGATGGAAAATGCTATCCACATCCAAAGAAAGAACTATGGAAGTTGAATTGCTATCTTTTTTTCTTTCTCTTCTGTTGAATTTTGTTTCCTCTTTCTGATGGTTCCTCTTATTGGTTTTAATTTTTACTTACAACTTCACTAATGTGAAATTATGTTTAATAGGAATGTAAATGTAAAGCCTACATTTGTGCACCGTCTTGGGGAGGGAGATGGGAGAGGGGAAGAAAAATTTTAAAGTCAAAAGCATATGGAAGTGATTGTTGATAAATCACAATAAATTAATAAAATAAATTAAAAACAAAACAAAACAAAAAACAAATAATGCCTAGAGATTAAACCCATTTACCAAACACAAATCAGAAAAATCCCATAGATTAAAATACAGACAGACACACACACACACACACACATATACAGACAGACATACAGACAAAAATATACCAGAATAATCAATTCTCCAGCTGGGAGAGAGATCTCAGCTCAAATCAGGAGAATTGTCTGGAGGTGGGATAGAAATTGTCTCTCATTGTCTTTATAGTTGCCAGCTGTGGAGATCAAGGAACATGATAGAGCCAACTCCCATATATGCCTTTGGCTCAGAGGGTTGCAGTCTGATCTCTCCCCCTCCCCTCCCCCTCCCCTCCCCTCTCCTCTCTCCCTCTCTCTCTCTCTCTCTCTCTCTCTCTCTCTCTCTCTCTCTCTCTCTCTCTCTCTCTCTCTCTCTCTCTCTCTCTCTCTCTCTCTCTCTCTCTCTCTCTCTCTCTCTCTCTCTCTCTCTCTCTCTCTCTCTCTCCTCTCTCTCTCTCTCTCCCCTCCCCTTTCTCTCTTCTTTTTCTGCTTCTTTCCTTTCACTTTCTCTCCTTTCTTTCCTCTGTCTGTCTGTCTCTCTCTCACACACACACATTGTATATGAAGATATATACAGTGTAAATAGAAGGTAATTTCAGAGAAAAGGCCCTAGTCATGGAGGTGGAGGGAGAGGAGAAGAACTGGGAAAGCCCTGCAGAAGGAAGAGAGTCTTAAAGGAGGCTAGGGAAGTGAGAAGGCTGTACTGAGGAGGCAGCACATTCCAGGTACTGAGGACAGCCAGTTGGGAGATCACGTGTTGTATGTGAGGCATAGCAAAGGGGCCTATGTCACTGGATTGTAGAGTGTGTTGCTGTTGTATCATTTCAGTTGTCTGACTCTTGGTGACCCCATTTGGGGTTTTCCTGGCAGAGATACTGGAGCGGTTTGCCATTTCCTTCTCGAGCTCATGTGACAGATGAGGAAACTGAGGCAAACAGGGTTAAGTGACTTGTCCAGGGTCACAGAGTTGGCAAGTGTCTGAGGCTGGATTTGAACTCGGGAAAATGAGTCTTCCTGACTTCAGGCCCAGCACTCTATACACTGTTCTACCTAGCTGCCCTTTGTAGAGTGTGCAGATAGAAGTAAAAAGTAAGGAGATTGGAAAGGCAGGAAGGGGCCATGTTGTGAAAAGCCAAGGAGAGGACTTTTTTTTTTGATCCTAGGGATAATAGGGAGGTGCTGGAGTTTATTGGTAGGGGGATGATATGTTCTAACCTGTACTTTAGCAGCTGAATCAGGGATGGATTGGGTGGACACTGCAAACTGATGATGAATGAGGTCCAGATTCTAACAGGAGGAGAAAACAGGCTGTCACCTTTGGAAAACTGCGTCTAATGGATTACTGGGCATTTAAAAGGCCCCTCCCTTTAAATTTAAAGGGCTGTAGTGGTCAAATCAGCAAGCATTAATTAGAGGTTGAACAAGAAGAGAAATCCTTCCGCTATTCATCACCTATAGTCTTTTATGTATGGGCCAAAGAGTGAAGAATTGGGTGTAGTGGTACTTCATAGGCTATTCTCAAAATCTGTGGCCAAATGGGCATCTGTTGAGGACATGTGTTCACACGCGCATGTGAAGCTGTGAACAAGTTTTACAAACATGTGGGTGTGCACAGGATTCTTTTTGTTTATGTGTGCAGAGACCTATATGTGTTTGCAAAGACTGTATATGATTCTGTATGAGTGCACAAGTTCCTGTCTGAGTGTGTGCATTTAAACAGAGAAGTAGGTTGTCACCCAAAGACAAGAAACACAAAGTCCACTTTGAGTCATGTTCAAAAGCTGAGGTTACTGAGAAAGAGTGACCTGGGGACTGGAGCAGGGTGGGTGATGGAGATCCTGGAAAACTTGTTTTCACTTCTGCCTTATGTGAGGGCTGCATTAGGGGGCTTCTGAAGTCTTTTCCAGTTGTAAATTTCTGAAAATGTCATCTCCTTCCCTCCCTAGACCAGGAGCTAGAAACTCAAAGAAGGGTGAGAATATTAGACGTTCCATCTCCTGCCTAGGATGGTAGCAATAGGCGTGTGGAGGTGGGAAGCGGCGTGTGTGGGCTTTTATTCTAACCCTCAGCTCACCAGCTACTTAACTGGTCCTTCCCACATGAACATGCTTGTTCAGTTCCTTAAGACACAGGTATCTGAAATGATTTAGAGTTAGGAAGGGCATTAGAAACCATGGAGTCTAAAATTTAAAAACAATATTCTATGGTTCTGTGTCCCATATCCAGGGCCTCCCACAAGCAGCAAGCCAAGGACAGACCTTCTCCCAAAAGCTGCTCTGCCTCCTCCAGGGTGGGACAGCTCAAACCGTTCTCTCCAGGCCTTCTTGAGACCCCAGGAGCTGAGACCAAAGACCCCAGGTCTGAACAAGAGCAGCATGGCTCCATGTCCAAGAAACCCCAGACACTTATGGAGCCCCTCTTTGATATGACTCCAGGGCCCTGGCAAAGTGAAAGTCTGGAAGAACAACTGGGACCTGGCCACCGGGCAGTCAGCACCAGGTTACTGAGCTCCCTGAGGAATAAGATCTCAGACGGAGTCTGGAGGAAGTCATGTGAAGCTACTGTAAACATCAGCAAGCAGGTTCCTATGGGCTGATGCTGGGGGGCAAGGGAGGTGACCCTGCTGTCCATCACCCCTTACCCACTTGTCATCACATCTTAAAGAGTGCGAGCCACTGGGGTCTGGACTCATGGGAGTAAGCAGCCCTCTGAGAAAGAGCTGTCTGACCGTCAAAGGCAGCATTTGGGCAATTAGATGCTTGGGTTTCTTCCTGGCTTTCTCCCCATCTCCCCCTGTGCCCTGGAATCCCTCCACCTTTGGAACCTCTGTTTCTCTCCTTTCCAAGGAGGCAATATGATGATATAGTGGAAAATGCCTTTAATTGGGAGCTAGGAGGCCTGAGTTCTAGTTCTGACTTTTCCACGGAGTAGAGTGACCCTGGGTAAATAATTTTATTTATCTAGGACTCAGTGTCCCCACCTACAAAATGGGAATAACACCTGTCCTGTGAGGATGTCTAAGATTCAAATGAGATAATATATGTATGTAAAAGTACTTTGGAAAGTACAAAGTGCTATTCAAATATGAAGTATTTTTTGTTAGTACCGTTATTACTTATCATCATGAATTAGTATTAGTATGTTACCAGTATAACAATGTGAAATTTTCAGGATTATTATGTACTAGGAATTTATTAGTGATAATAGTAAAAATTGTTGGTGGAGTGAGGGAGTGACAATAAAAACCTAGGCTGGACCAAAGTCGGCTGCCTCGCCACCATTCAATGATAACATTAACTAGCATTTATATAGCACCTTAAGGGTTACAAAGTGCTATATTATGACTATTACCTCATTTGGTCCTCACAACACCTGGGAAGGTAGGTGCTATTATTGTCCCCATTTTACAGATGAGGAAACTGAGCTAGAGAAAAGTTAAGTGACTTGCCCAGGGTCATACAGCTACTTTGTATCTGAGGCAGGATTTGAACTCAAGTCTTCCTGACTGCTAGGTACTGTACCTCATTCTCTCAACAAATATATAAAAAGTGCCTATGATGGCACTATGTTAAGGCCTGGGGAGACAAAGACAAAAACTAAAAATAATTCTTGCCCTCAGGAGGCTTACATACTATTGGGAGGTGCAACATGTGAGCAAAGAAATAAATACAATATAAATTGAAGAAGGAGGGAGGACTAATTTCTAACCCCCAACCTGCCTCCCCAGTTGCAGGAGCCAGAAGAGAATAAAATTGTCAGGGAGCTCCTGGAGACAGAGCAGACCTATGTGTCCCGCCTTCACCTGCTGGATCAGGTGAGTGATTGACATGCACCGCCTCCAATCTCCATCTTCAGGATTCCTCTCCTTTCGTGTTTACATGTCCTCTGTTCAGAGAGCTCAGTGCTGGGCACTGAGGGAGGGAATTGGCGTGGCAACAATGGAAAAGTGTGCTGGGTTTGAAGTCGGGGCCTTGGGTGTGAATCCCCACTCAGGTACTTCCTTAATAATATTCACATTAATAATATAATCAACTCATTATATAGCACCTACTAGCCAAGTGATTTACAAATATGATCTCATTTGATCCTCACAACAACCCTGGGAGGTAGGTGCTATTATGATCTCCACTTTACAGATGAGGAAACTGAGGCAAACAAGGCCACAAAGCTAGTAATAATGATGATAATAATAATAACAGCTAACATTTATATAGCACCTACTATATACCAGGCACTATGCTAAGCACTTTGCAAACATGATCTCATTTAATTTTCACAACAACCCTGTGAGGTGGGTGCTACTATTGTGTCCATTTTACAGCTGAGGAAACTGAGACAAACAGAGGTTAAATGACACCTGGTCAGGTAGGTGGCCCAGTGGGTACAGTGTTGGGCCTGGAATCAGGAAGATTCCTCTTCCTGAGTTCAAATCTGGCCTCAGACACTTCCTAGCTGTGTGACCCTGGGCAAGTCACTTAACCCTGTTTGCCTCCATTTTTTCATCTGTAAAATGAGCTGGAGAAGGAAATAGTAAAACACTCAGTAAACGTCTTTGCCACAGAGTCAGAAACAATTGAAAAAACGACACAAGCTATGTACCTATAGCGTATAAGGTCTTTGCAAATACTATCTCATTTGATCTTCAAAATAGCCTTGTGATGTAGGTGCTATTACTATTCCCATTTTAGAGATGAGGAAACTGAAGCCAACAGAAATTAAGTAGCTTGCCCAGAGCCACACAGCTAGTAAGTGTCTGAGACAGGATTCAAATTCAGCTCTTTCTGACCTCAGGCCCAGCTGAACGCCTAGCTGCCTAGTAAGCAATATTTAAATGCTAGCGAACTATTATTTATGTGGCCTTGGACAAGTCCTCTCTGGGCCTCAGTCTTCTCATGTGTAAAATGAGGGGGAAAGAGTGGCCTAAATACCTCTCAGATTCTGAATTCATGATTTCACCCTTAGAGAAAATTTCTTTTCCTTTAAGGAAGTGATGATTTCATACAGGAATCAGAAAACTGTGGCCGGTGAATCTGGCCCTGGCCTGTTTTTGTACAGCCTGAGCTAAGAATAGTTTTTACATTTTTAAGTAGTAAGAGGATGGTTCACCAACCCCTGAATTCTAGTAGGAAGGTGGAATATAAAAATCTTATAAAACAAAGACTTCAGGTCTTTGTCAATTTAAACGTTACACCGCGTCAGAAGTGCCCATCGGATACCGGCTGTATAACCTTGAGCAGGTCACCAGCTCTCTGGCACTCAGCTTTCTCCACACCAGACAGAGCGCCTCTTTCCTAGGAGTGCCCTCTGGCTGCCTGGATCACTCTTCCATCAGTCTGAATGAATTCTGCCTTCAGGTTTTCTTTGAGGAGCTGTTGAAGGAAGCTCGCAGCAGCAAGGCTTTCTCTGAAGATGTTGTCAAACTCATCTTTTCCAACATCTCCTCCATTCACCAATTCCACTCCCAGTTCTTCCTCCCAGAGCTTCAGAGAAGAGTGGACGAATGGTGAGTGGGGGTGGCTGGGTCCACCTGGGGAGGGAGAAGCAATGGGGTGCTTTGCACATAGTAGGTACTCCACAGATGTTTGTTGAATTGAATTGAGTTGAAATGGTGGACTGCATGTCAGGAGAACCAGCATGGGCACTGTGGATCTTGGGAAAAAATTTTCCCTCGCCAGGTCTCATTTTTTTCTTCTATAAAATGGGGGAGAACAAACCTGATCTGCTACCAGTTTTTGTATAGCCTGAGAGATGAATACAATTTATTTTAAAATGTAAGCACTATTTTTTCCTCATGGATTGTACAGGTGACAGAACACATTTGGCCCTCTGGCCATGGCTTACTGACTCTCAGATAGTGGATAGAGGACTGGCCTTGGAGTCGGAAAGACTTGGAATGAGGTCCTACTTCTGACATATACTAGCCATTCTGACCATGGGCAAGTAAATTAAATAAAAAAAAATATATATACATATATATATATGTGTGTGTATATATATATATATATATATATACATATATGTATATACACACACACACACATATATACACACATACACACACACACTCTCTCTCTCTCTCTCTCTCTCTCTCTCTCTCTCTCTATATATATATATATATATATATATATGCGAAAAAAACTCTTTGTAAATTTTAAGGATTGAGGTCAATGTGCTCTCTATTATTTGGAGGCAGCTATGTGATATAGTGGCCAGAGTGCAGGTTTGGAGTCAAGAAGACCTGAATTTGAATCTTGTTTCAGTTACCCACTAACTAAATGACCCTCTTTGCTTCTCTCAGGCTCAGTTTCCTCATCTGGGAAATGGGGATAATAAAAACCTCCCGGGGTTGTCATGAGGGTCAAATAAGATAACGTATGTAAAATGCTTTCTAACCTTGAAGCACCATATGGATGTTAACCGTTACTAGTATTAGCACTAGTTAACCTCTCAGAGACCAGCTTTCAAAGGCCAAGTTACGGATAAGTTGCATTGCTGGTAGAGTGTTCCACACATGAATTCCCTCCATACAGGTGAAGATCCCTACTCCCTGGCACCCCACCCCCACCCCCAAAAGGAAGTTAGGTGTTAAAACTGATGATCATTCAGTTCTAGAATTCTTTGATTCCATCTCTTTGAAAAGAGTCAAAGATCAAGGAGAGATGCTGGGTTAATTTTACAGACTGAGCTATTTACTCTGATGAGTACAGATAGAGAGCTTACTATGTGGTCATCTCTGTGCTAAAAGAGAGTCACAGAAATGGAAGGTGCAGTCCCTGCCTTCAAGGAATTTATTATTAGACAAGGATCCACTCCTTAAATTATTCGTTCATACATCCTCAATGCTTCCCTGCACATAGTGAGGAAACAATAATTTGTTAAGCACCTACTATGAGCCAGGCAAGAGCAGCTAGATGGCGTGGTGGATAGAGTGCTGGGCCTAAAGTCAGAAAGACTCCTCTTCTTGAGTTCAAATCTGGCTTCAGACACTTATTGGCTGTGTGACCCGGGACAAGTCACTTTATCCTATTTGCCTCAGTTTCCTCATCTATTAAAAAATGAGCTAGAGAAGGAAATGGCAAACCACTCTGGTATCTTTGCCAAGAAAACTCCAAATGGGGTCACGTAGAGTCAGGGGTGACTGAACAATGACTGAACAGGTCACAGTGCCAGGCACTGTGCTAAGCACTTTACACGCATTTTTTCATTTGAGCTTCACAAAAATCCTGGGAGAAAGGTCATATTATGATCTTCATTTTACAACTGAAGAAATTGAGGCAGACAGGTTAAGTGACTTGTCCGTGGACACACAACTTAGTAAGTGTTTGAGGCCAGATTTGAACTCAGGTCTTCACTACTACAGGACCACTGCTCTATCCATTGCACCATCTAGCTGCCTTAATTAATGTCTGTTGAATTGAATTGACTTGGATTCTATAGTTGGATAATAAGAATTGGAAGGGAACTTTGAGGTCATTGAGTCCAATCTCCTCAATTTACAGATCAGGAAACTGAGACACAAAAAGGTTAAAGTGACTTGTCCACAATTACTCAGGTAGTAAGTGGCCTATAACAAATCCTCTGACTCCAAATTCAGCATTCTTTATTCTGGATGGCATCGTAGTATTAATTGTGTTTGTCGTCAGTGTTACTTCCTCCCGGAGGACATCAGGGCTGTCCTGGTCTATTAGGATTATTGGCAACCCTTGCCATATCTAGATTATAAGGTCATAGATTTAAAATTAGAAGGGACCTTAAAGGACATTGAGCCCAATTCCATTATTTCACATATGAGGAAACTGAGGTCCAGAAAAGTTGATCGACACAGAGTCACAAAGTAGGTAAGTATCAGGGGTGGGATTTGAACCTGAGTCTTCTTAATTGCAAGTCCAATCAGTGCCTCACCCACTGCACCACAAAGCCTAGATATTATTGGTTCAAAGGCCTGAGGATAAGGGATGAGGTCCTTGCCCACAGGGCTGCCGTCCCCCGCATTGGTGATGTGATCCAGAAACTGGCGCCCTTTCTGAAGATGTACGGCGAGTATGTGAAGAACTTTGAGCGGGCAGCAGAGCTGCTGGCCATATGGATGGAGAAGTGCCCACCCTTCCAAGAGGTCATCACTCGAATCCAGGTGGAGAGCCTGAAGCTCTAGATGCCAGAGCAGGGGTGGGAGGAGGTATAGAATGGGCACAGGGACAGGAAGGGAAAGACAGAGAGGCCATTGCACCCTTGACATCTCAAATGAGGAGAAAACAAATTCTCATCTTTCCCATGTCATCACTTGAAAAACTGAGGCCTGAGAAAAATACCTGCCCCTAAGCCCCTTCTTATGCATGCCACACATAAACCAAGAGTCACGGTCGGGTCCCGGTCAGCTGGATGGCCAGCCTGTCCTTACTCTGTCGGCCTCATCTCCCACCTCTCCCTTTCAGGTGGGGCAGCACGCACTGGCCCGTCAGACCCTGTCACTACCCTCCCAAACTTTGGGTATCTGCGACCAAATTCATATAATTCTAGAGCTGAAAGGGACCTTCAAGGTCACGTTGTCCAACTCCCTCCTTCACAGAGAAGGAAACCAAGACGCAGAGAGGGCAGGGTCACACGGGAATTTCAGGACAGAGCTGAGGCTAGAATCCAGGTCTCCTGCATCTTCCCACTACCCCATCCTGTATCTCTTCCCTCTGGATCCACCCCCAGGCCTGGAATATCTGCATTCTGCCCCATCTAGGCTGAGTAGCAGTCTGACCTTCCCTCCACTCCCACCCCCTCACTTCTCTTCTTGCCCCCAAGAACAGCGAGGTCTGTGGCAACCTCACCCTGCAACATCACATGCTGGAGCCCGTGCAAAGGATCCCTCGCTATGAGCTGCTGCTGAAGGAGTATGTGCAGAAGCTACCCGCTGATGCCCCGGACCAGGCGGATGCCCAGAGTAAGGTCTTAGCCCGGGGACGTGGGAGGGATAGATTGGACAGGGAGCCATGAACACGGCCATTTCTTCATGTATTCACTCAGTTATTCAATGACCACATGGCCTCATTTCTTATTCTGAGCCCCCATCGGTAGTGCTTTGCTTGTGTCTCTCTTAGGAACCTCTCACGTATTGTGTGCCTTATTCTACTGTTATATTCTTATTTTATTCCTCTACCTGTGCTATAAGTTATGTCTTCTTTCTTCTTTTTTTAAAGTTTATTTTTAGTTTTCAACATTAACTTGTATAAGATTTTGAGTTGCAAAATTTCCCCCCTCCCCAAGACAGCATGCAATCTAATATAGGCTTTACATGGACAATCATATTAAACACATTTCCACATGAGGCATGTTGTGAAAGAAGAATCATATATATCTTATTTATTTCAATGTTCTGTTCTTTGTCAAATGGAATCAGGAACTTACTATGTGCAACAAATAGATACAGGTGCTAGGACAGATACTTTTTATTGTTGTCATTTGTCCTTCTTGAAGAGGACCATGACATCAGGTAATTGGTGCCACGACTTGCAAGTGAATTGGATTTAAGTGAGGGAGGGCTGTGCAAGGTCACCAGCCTCACTTTCTCCTCCAGAGCCATTTGGGTCCAATGGCAAGATACAGATCAAGACTACTGGAGATGGTCCCCACTAGGAGAGAAGAAAAGCATATAAGTCTCATTCCTACCCTTGAAGAGCTTATGGTCTTTTACCCTGGAGTGAGGAATCAAACCCTAGAGAATGAGATTCAGGAATTGTCCTAAACCAGAGGTGGGGAGCCTGTGGCCACATGTGGGCCCTCTAGGTCCTCAAGTGTGGCCCTGGTTCCCCACCGCTGTCCTAAACTTAAGACTGCTTAATATGGGCTCTGCACATAGTAGGTGCCTAAAAAATGATTATTAAACTGAATGGCATGTTTCCCCAACACTGTGAATCTTGGTAATATCCACCTCGTATAAGCCTTCTCTACCCTTTTACCTAAGGCTTTGTCTCTAACAGGAGTCACCCAAGTTGGGGGTAGGAGTTAACTGGGAAAAAAGATAGGTATCCTTCCTGACATCAGCCTCCCAGCTTAAGAACCAGCCCCAAATACTTCTTGTTTCCCTTAATAACCCAATGTAGACCCGCCTCTTTTTGGGGAGTTCTAAAGAGCCTCTTTCAGAACCCAGAACTGCCCCCCCCACCAGTTTTAGTGTCCCAGCATTCACAAAGCAAGTCCTTTCCCCCATCCATCCTTTTTGTGACTTTGCAACTCTCTCTTTCAGAAGCTCTGGACATGATCTTCTCTGCTGCTCAGCATTCTAATGCAGCCATCACTGAGATGGTGAGCTGGGACCCCTCAGCTCTCAGCAGGGTGGGAGCCTCAAATCCTAAAGTTTCTAATTCCTTCTGATCCTCCTGCTAGGCCCTCCAAGTGCCCCAACATCCCTGTACCGTGGCTGCCCCCTCATTCCTGGACTTTCTCCTCCCTGATTTACTCTGGGTCCACGGTAATCACTTGCCCTGGAAGCTGCTATTTCCCCTGGATCCTGTCATCTGCTAACACCCCCTCATTTCCTCACCCCTCTCAATCAGCCCATGAACATGCATTTGTCAAGCTCCTACTATGGGCCAGAGACTAAGCAAGATGCTGGGGTTACCAAAGCAAAAGCAAGGCAGTGTACCTGCCCTCAGGGAGCTTACATTCGATCATAGGAAATAACCTGAGTTGTTTGAAACACATAAGTAAATACAAAGTAATTTCTAGTGGGGAATACTAGTAGTCAGTGGGATCAGGAAAGGCCTCTCAGGACCAGAGATGAAGCAGGTTGTCCACTTCTTGGCAGAGAAATGATGGACTGAGGATGAAGAATGAGTCGTATATTTTTTGGACATGACCATGCTGGAATTTGTTTTGTATATTTGTATATGTATGTATATTTGTATACAAATATACTATGTGTACAGGTATATTTGTCGCAATGGTTTTTCTTTTCTTTTTTTTTTTTCCCCAGTGATGGGAGAAGAGGGAGAGAAAATTATTTTTTGTTCATTGAAAAAACAAAATATAATTTAAAAATTAACCCTCAGAAAAAAAAAAAAGGAAAGGCCTCACGTATGGGGTCAAGTTTGAGCATAGCTAGGAGCTTCGCTTACTAAGAGGTGGAGGGGAGGAGAGGATGCATCCCAAAGTTATGGAAAAGCTGCCCACTCGTACTCTCTTATATCTTCTGATATATGCTACCTCCCCACAGGGGAATCTTCCCGAGCTAGATCTACGTCTTCTTGTTAAAAGCATATTTTTTAGACAAAACGTCTTGTCCAGCTCCCTTGTCTGCATGTTTCAGGGCGTCCCAACTCTAGAAGTCAGAGAGTTCTGGACCTCTATGATCCAGGTTCTCCCTAAGAACCAGGGGATACAGAATGGCCCAGACGTACTTCATGTCCTTCCCGTACTGGGTTTTCTCATTCTCTCTCTCCCTCCCCAGGAGCGTCTACAGAACCTGTGGGATGTGTACCAGCGTCTGGGCCTTGAGGATGATATCGTAGACCCCTCCAATGAATTGCTCCAGGAAGGCCCCATCCAGAAGATCTCCTTCAGACACAGCAGCACCATGGAGCGTTACTTGTTCTTGGTAGGGGAGGGGGGCTCAAAGGACTGAGGCTGTTTTTCACTGGGGTATGGGACTGAGAAGGTCTGTCTGACTCCAAGGCCAGCATGCTAGCCACTATACCATGACATCTTTGCTCAGGTATAGGTTAGACCGGTCAGAGGCGTGCTGGTGAATGTTTAACAACCAGGTCCTCCAGAAAAACTTATGAAAGACACATTTAATCTGCATTGTTAATATTTTCTCCATCATTTTCTTAAGTCAAGGGTTTTGTTTTGTTTTGTTTTTAAGTTCTGCAGATTAAACCTTAAGTTGTATGGATTAAAGAGAACACTAACTCAAGCCCTGATTTGTAGCTTTGCTGATGTCAGAGGTGTAAATGCTTATGCAGAAGATTTAACAATAGGCTTTTAGGAACCTATCTGATCCAACTTCAACACACCCCTGGACCAGGTGAACTCTGAAGTGCCTTCCAGTTCTGTTACTCTGTAGAAGTACAGGACAAACCCATCAACTGTCTGGGTTCACTATGCTCCTGCCACTAGGCAGGAGAAGATTGAGGAGAGCTCTACTGAGTCACTCCTAGCTCTGAATCCCTCTGATATTGTATCATGCATGAGAATGTCAGAACAGGCCTCCAGACACTGTCTATGCATCTAGGGCAAATCATAGGCTTTCTAATGCTCTCAGGTGGAAAGAATTAGCACGTGTAAATCCCTCTGGTGCTTCATCACACTCAGTCCTGCTCTCTAGGGGCCCTCTGTCCATTTCTCAGCCCTAGGGCCCTATCGAGGATGATGAAGTTCAAAGACTCCTTTGACTGTTATGGCTGAAAAAACCTGGCACGTGGAGATGACATTGGGTAAATGCCATCCTCATCATCATGCAAACTGTGAGAGACATGGCCATCTCCCCATGGTCCTTTGATGCGAACTAGGAGACTAAGAATCTATTGGATTCCAAGGGAGCAGCCTTGGACAAGGTGCAGTCTATAGAGAGCAAGCACTGAGCTGAGAATTGGAATTTAACCTAGGTTTGAGTGCTTAGCTCCGTCACTTACTGGACAGCTAAATAATGAAGTGAATTGAGTGTAAGACCTAGAGTCAGGGAGACCTGAGTTTGAATCCTGCCTCAGATACCAACAGTGTGATTCTGGGCAAATCACTTAACTTCCTTGACTCAGTTTCTCCATCTGTAAAATGGGGATGATGATGATAATAATAATACTTTTCTCCCATGGATGTGGTGAGATAATATGTAAAATGCTTTGTAAACCTTAAAGTACCATATAAATGACAATTATTATGATTACTACTGCTCAGCATGCGCTCTTGGATAAGTCACTTAAATTCTTTGGGCCTCATTTTCCTTATCTGTAAAGGGCTGAGTGAGTTCAATCGTTTTTCAGTTGTGTCTGTCTACTTGTGACTCCATTTGGGATTTTCTTGGCAAAGATAGTGGAGTGGTTTGCCATTTTCTTCTCCAGCTCATTTTGCAGATGAGGAAACTGAGGAAAAGAGTTAAACAGAGTAACTTGCCCAGGGTCATACAGCTAGTAAGTTCAAATCTGAGTCCAGATCTGAACTCAGGTTCACCATGCCTGGTGCTCTATCCACTGTGCCACCTAGCTGCCCCCTCATCTGTAAAGGAGGATTATTAATACCTGCACTGAGAGACAGGGTGCTTTAGTGGCTAGAGAGCTGGCTTTGGGGTCAGGAATGCCTAAGTTCAAATCTCATCTCTGGCATGTACTGACTGTGTGACCCTGAGCAAAAAAAAAAATACCTCCCAACCCCCCTCTCCCCTCACTCTTTAAAACTATATTTTGTAAAACATCTGCATGATCTGTATTTGGGGAAGAGATTTCTGTACTAGAAGTTCCTTGCACTAGTAAAATCACAGGTCCAGATGTTTAAAGTATATATATATATATATAGCTATACACACGCATATATATTACCCATATTATTTGGCTATTGTGAAACTCAAATGAGATAATGCATGTAACTCTTTGAAGTGTTAGGTTCATGTTGGCCATTATTACTTGAATGGTGACCATATGTCTTTTCCTCCTTCAGTTCAACAATATGCTGCTGTACTGCGTGCCTAAGGTGATTCAGGTTGGGGCTCAGTTCCAGGTGAGGACACGAATAGATGTGGCTGGAATGAAGGTGAGATTCTCTCTGGCCCCTCCACTCTATTTATTGTATGGATATCTTTTATTTTTATATCATATCTCCCCCCCCCAGATATATCCTTCCCTTCTCCACTACCCAGTAAGCCATACCTTGTAACAAATGTAAGATACATGGGAGTGGAGTGTGACTGAATATGTAGACGTGGCTTGTGGGTAGCATGGATATGTATGATCTGAAATCTGATCTAATCCCACCTGTCTCTTTTGTGGGAAGTAGGAGAAACATTGTCCTGGCCCTTTCAGCAGCTAAATGAGAGGAGGGGCAGGTAAGCAGGCAAGGTCCAGGACCTCCAAAGCTGGGCAATCTGTCCTTCAGTCTCCAAGAGGGAGATAGATTAGATTTATCTATCTGCCACCTGCCAAATCTCTGGTACAATAGGTTCAGAACAGAAGCTGCTTCCCTGATCACTCTTAAGGGGGGAGGGCAGCCCCCAGCTTACACTTGCTAGTTTAGTCCCTTCCCACCAAACAATGGTTACACAAAGGGCCATCATAAATAGAAAGAATAAGTAAGCTCATTTACCTAAGCAAAACAGCAAGTGGAAGACATTCAGAGACATTCCACAGATTAGAATATATCAGAGAATATACAAAAGTGAATGAGATCTTCAGCTGGGATTGAGATAAGATCTCAGCTCAAACTAGGAGAAAGATGGTGATGTCATCAAGGAGAGGTCCACTCGCCATGGTCTCCCTGGAGATCAAGGAACACACACACACACACACATACACACACACACAAAACCTTCCAATAGGCCCTTTTGCCACGTCTCCCTAAAGAGTTTTTGGAACCAACTCAAGTAAGTCCCTTACCACAGAGACACAATGTTATGCTTAGCATTATTTCAGCCAATCAGGAGTAACCTATCCCTCCAAATACACAGTAAGAAGCATAGGGCTGCCCTACCGCAAAAATGCCCCTGGTTTGGACAGAAGCAGAATCACACAAAGAATAAGAAAAAACAGAAAGACAAAAAAAAGACAACAACCCCAAAACCAGTTCACCAAAAGCCAGCCAGCATACCATCTGTATCTGACAGCACATGCAACATTCTACACCCATAGTCTTTCATGTTTGCAAAAGAAGGAGGGTTTATTTTCTCAACTCCAGAGTAATTTGCTTCTTAAACAGGAGCAGAGAATTTAAAGGTAGTGAGGAAGGTGTGTGCTCTGGGAGCAGAAAGGGATTAATCCAACTTAGCTCCTTGAGATCCTGGTCTAGGTCAGCCCTAGACAAATATGGAGGACAAGTTTCCCAAAGGAAAAGAGTAACAGTATTTTATTGAAGGAGCAAAGGATTTACAAAAGATGTTAGGAGACCTGGGTTCAAATTCTGGCTTGTCATGTGCATTAACTATGGAATGCCATACGGAATGCTTTCACCCAGTTTATTGATAGAAATGTTGGTTAGTACAGGCCCAAGGTTAGAACCCTGCAATACTCTGCTATTGTTCTTCAGTCATTTCTCAGTTGTTTCTGACTCTTCCTGATCCCATTTGGGGTTTTCTTGGCAAAGGTACTGGAGTGATTTGCCATTTCCTTCTCTAGCTCATTTTACAGATGAGGAAACTGAGGCAAACAGGGTGACGTGACTTGCCCAGGGTCACACAGCTAGTAAGTATCTGAGACCAGATTTGAACACAGAAATATGAATGGGTTCCCAGCCAGTGCTCTATCCATTACGCCATCTAGCTTACCTATGGGGATACTAGCTCAGGTTCGATATATTCATTGGGTCTGTTCACTTAAAGCTAAGCCCTGACTGGTTTAATTATCTGTCAGCAGACACAATTAGCTCAAACCAAAGGCCATTTCTAAAAAGGTATAATGGGAATGAGCAGCTGGGTGGCACAGTGAATAAAAACACTGGGCTTGGAATCAGTAAGACCCATTTTCTTGATTTCAAATCTAGCTCCGTACACACTAGTTGTGTGACTCTGGGCAAGTCACTTAACCCTATTTGCCTCAGTTTCCTCATCTGGAAAATGAGCTGGAGAAGGAAATAGCAAACCGCTCTGGTATCTTCGCCAAGAAAACCCCAAATGGGGTCACAAAGAGTCAGACATGACTGAACAACAAACAAACAAAAATAGAACAGTAGCAGCAAACTATTCTTGCCTCCCCATAAATGTAAGGTACACTCTCCCCTGCATACATACAGATTGATGAGAAGAGCAGGTATATACAAGGCTAGTATTAGTGTAAACACGAGCAGAGTGGTGCATATTTAGTGATCACAGCTTCCCTTCTGGTTCTCAGAAATCCCTTTAAAAACGAATTCTAGAATTATTCAAGTCAAGCTCATTAGTCTACAAGTTTGAAAAAGCTATCTTTTTTTCCCCTTTTCTTGATAATCTGGACGAGATTTTCCTGTCTGTAGTGCTATGGCACCCATCCCATTCTCTGGGTTTTTTCTGATGTCACTGGTAGTAGTTTGGCAATCAGCTCTACAAATTATCTCAGTACTGAGGAATGTAGTTTGTTTGAGACTAGGAACTCCAACTCATTGGGAGAAGTGAGGTGCTTGCTTACCATGGCCTCACTTACCCTGGGTTTCAAATTCTGTTAACCACTTTTGGTCTATGTTTCCCAGTTAGATCATTCTCTTAGGTAGAAAAAAAAGGAAGAAAAATGGGAGTTGAATAGTTCAACTTTTTCTCCATCATACATCATCACCGTTACCTTATCTCTTCTTTGACCTTCCTTTTGGCCCCCAGCATAGCTTATAAAAAGTCCCCTCCTCCTTTATCAGGGTGGAGTGGATAAGAGTGCCAGGCCTGGAGTCAGGAAGACCTGAGTTCAAATCCAACCTCAGACACCAGCTGTGTGACCCTGGGCAGGTCACTTAACCTTGTTTCCCTCAATTTCCCTGTTGTGCCACCTAACTGTCCCTCCTTTTTGGGTGATATTACCTGTCCTTGCTCCCACCTTCTGTCTATGTATTTAAAAAGTCTAAGTTATTTGAACTGTCCGTCTCCATCAGTGTCTCTAGAAAGCTCCCCCTTTTCTTCCTTATCAGAATAATTTACCTAGTTAGAATTTCATTATTGAGAGCATCCTACCTCTCTAGAGTCAACATTCCCCATAGAGTCTTAAGCCCTGAGGTCCTACTTATCTTTTCTCCTAACTCTCCACTCTCCCCAAATTTAGGGGAGTTCATGTATGATTCTCAGATGGGGTGGTCACTTCCTTCCAAGGTTTTGCTTGCTCCTATTTAAGTCAATAGTTCTCCCTTAGTAGTCAGAATCAAATCCAGAATAGCAGTTCCCCTCATCACTTCCTCAATCTTTTGCTGTGATCAGCTATTTGCTTTTAGCAAAGAGTTCCAGCAGATAGAAAAGCAGTAACTTCAACTGCTTTATCTCCTCACTACGTGTCCCCGAGTTGCATGGCGCCTATTTCTTGTTTGTGTACTTATTTCTGATCTTAAGTGAATGAGTGTCTAGAGACCAAGTTATGACCTCGTGAGCTTCAAAGGGATGGAAGAGCTGTGAGAAGTCCCCTTAGCAAAATTATCTGGTAGCAGCTGTAGCTGAGCTTGGTGAAGCCCTAGATTAGGAAGCAACCTTTGTGACCCAGCCTAGTGAATTGAGACAGCAGCTGAGATGCCAAGTCCTTATAAAATTACAGATTCCAAGCATACCCTGGCTGATTTTTCCTCCCAAGGTTCTGAAAAATTTCTGGCCCCGGGGAGGAACTACCACTGCCTTTTAATGTAACAGCCATCCCAGAATCTACCAGAAATGGGTGTCTTGTAACAGGTATGCCTGGGAGAATGTCGTGTTTCCTATGAACAAGTCTCTTAACTAGCTCAGCTAGCTTCTTCCAGGATGCAGTGTCTCAGCTGCAAGGTCAGTCTTCAAGCAGGTCACATCTCAAGACTGATTCCTCATCAGATTCAGTTACTGATGCTGTCTGCTACCCACTCCAGTTGCTGAGGGGACCTCTTATACCTCTTCCCACTTTTGAAGCTCTTAAGGTCACAACATGAGTTACTCCATCTCTGAGTACTCATTCACCTAAGATTAGAAAAGAAGTAAACAGAAGTAAACCATGGTTTCAGGGACATGTCGTAACCAGGTGAGGAGGTGAGAGCCGCTGAATCCACTGCCGTTTCCTCCACCCGGAGGCTCATAGTAATCCTCCTCGCCAGTTTCTATCCAATACGTGGAACACTGGAGAAGGAAGAAAAGGAAGAAAACAAGTATTTAATATTAATAGAAACCATCACAGAAGAAAAATGTAAAAAGATCCAAGGAGGCACATAGCCATCCGTTCTATACAAACTCAACTCTTGCTCTTTTATCAGCCTTCTAGCTCCAAAGCCAACCAGAAAACACATAGTACTAATCTCTCAGTCACTCAAGGCTAAAAGAAGGCAGCTAGGATGCACAGTGGATAGAGCATGGAGCCTAGAGTCAGGAAAACCTGAGTTCAAATCCTTCCTCAAACACTTACTAGTTATATGACCATGGGCAAGTCACTTTATTGCTGCCTGCCTCCATTTCCTCAACTGTAAAATGGGGATCATAATAGCACCTACCTCTCAGGATTATTGTGAGGATTAAATGAGATAATATTTGTGAAGTGCCTAGTATGGTACCTGGTACAGTACATTAAATACTTAATAAAGGCTTGTTTCTTTCCTTTCTTTCCATGATGTCCCATGGATTGAAACTGGATAGAGATTATTTGCATGCATTGCATATCCCACCAGGAAGGGCAAATTCACATATGTTCTAAGGACCCCCATTTTACCACTTTGCTTTGAAATTTCTAATTTGCTTCATTTATTGCCCAAACTCTACATATCTATACATAGACTCTGAAGCTGTGAATATTATTACTGACTTTCTTTCTGGAGATCGTCTCCTGGGAATTGTTTTACAGCCAAGGATTTAGAAATCCGAGATGTGTCATGTGTGAGGAATAGCAAGTAGATTGAGGGGAATAAAGAACAAGGGGCTGCTAGGT